TTAAGTTTAATTCATGACACATAAATAGTCCTTTACCCCAGATCAGAGCATCCAGATCCAAGAAGGCGTGTTTTTGAGATTCTTGGTAATATTCCTCAACTTGTCAACCTCTGGTTGGCTACACAAATCATAACATGAGAACATTAAAACTGGATCACTCTGGTGATTCATCAGTTCTTGAGAAAAGCTTCAGACCGGCCATCTGAAGCAACACCTCTCTAACCCATCAAAGCTTTTGACACGTCGTCAAAATCTTTTTGCACCTGCAAAGCTGATACAGCAAACGGTTCCTGCAGAACAAGCTGATATTGTTCAGACTCCTTAAGAGTCCACCAGACGTGCAGTTCCATCCGTCTGTTGTGACCTGGAGACAACTCTAAGACCAGTCTAGTAGTGCCGCAGTTTCTTCTATGGACCTCGGTGCCAGGAAGTCCGAGGACTTCGACATTCCGGATCTATCACGAGGGTCTTCGAGTAGGTATGTAGACACGACAGATTGTGTCTGATGTGTTTTGATAACAACCACCTTCATAGCTTAACACAAACCAAATTCTTTTACATCCAGAACTCAGCTCTCCTAGATACGGAAGTTCTGATAACATCTCAGTCACACATAGGTTTCATACATCACATGTAGATCCATCCACTCACAGTAAATATTAGTTAACTTGTCATGTTTTAATTGTTTGTAAAATAAATTCTTACTTTTATAAACCTGACTCTTTTCTGAATCAAAATGAAGTGTGTACAATCCCTTAATAAAACAAAGAATCCTAGAATCTTCTGATTAAATACAGTAAAGACCAAGTAGGTTGATATTCTATATTTATGTAAAGTATCACAGCTTATTGGTCATAAGTAGAGGTAATATATACTGAGCTCTTAAAGCACTCAATTAACAAAACCCTACATTTACTCATATTCTACTACCTCTTACGTGAGCTGTCTTTAGTGAGAGTAAAGTCTATTTCGTTGTACACCTGTGCAATGACAATAAATTATCTTGAATCTTGAAAACCTCTGGACTCAACATGAACACTAACATCTGCAAATGCATATCCAGGCATGCTTCTGGCTCCAAACTCTGTGAAGATTATATTTTAAGCCATTTTTTTGTGAATGGCAATGCAGTATCAAGAGTAGGGATGCAACGATACCACTTTTTTCCAAACCGATACGAAAACCGATACGATACCGATACTTGGATTTGGGTACTTGCCGATACCGATTACCGATACATCTACCACACAAAAAATGCAATGAATTGGAATACAGGTTATATTTTCTTCTCTGCTTTCAACAGGAAAAGACTGTGAGATCGATAAAAAAATAAAATAAATTAATAGAAAGAATCACAAAACTAAAAAATATTAGGTAATCAGAAATGACAGATTACAGTGAAGCCACTTTCAGGCAACTGCATTGTTATCAGTTCCTGGTATCGGTTCACTTTTACCGATATCGATACTGGTATTGGTATCGGTGCATCCCTAGTAAATATTTGGGATTATGTGATTTTTTTCTGATTCTCTATTGGACCAGATTTTCTGATTTATACAATAAAACATTTTATAAAAAACTACATATGTCAAGTGTTTTTCTAACCTCTGAAATGGGAACAGCACTAACATGTTTCTTTACCACAAAGCAAGTTACCATCCAGCATAAATAATTTGTTCCTACACCACAGATGCTGCAGCTCCATGAGGCTCACAAAGACAACTTGAATCTGAGGAGACTGGACCATTTGTCTTCAACAAGAGTGCTGACAGATTG